AGTCCAAAAAAAAAAAAAATGAAAAATTACATTGTCGCACTGGTTCAAATTTTGCCCAATTGGAAATCTTGGGAATCTGTCCGTCACTTTGGACTGCTTTCTGGGACCAGAAATCCCAAATTTGGGAACTTTTGACGCGCCAAAACACATTTTTCGACATGTTATCGGACCAGGATTCGGCGGAAATGATATAGAAGTGATGGACCCTGTCGAGATCTATTATTTGGTACCAAAACTGTCTGAATATCTCGTTTTAGAGACAAGTTATCAGCCGGCTCGCCATTTGCCCTTGCCTTGATCCTTTGGCTTTTACTCACTTCTCGGACCTCCTCCCATCTGCACGAATCGGTTGGAACCGCGAACTAAAGGTACATGCGTTGTGTACTCCCAGTGGACAACCCAAATCATGGGGACACGGTGCCATAACTGTTGCTGTTGGTAGCATTGTGGGAACCACTTCTCCTGGGGGCACAGCCTCATTCAACATCACAAACTTCTCATAGTCACTCAAATTATAGTCCTCCACAATTCGGACCACCTTGGGGGACAACATCACCTTCTCCTCCAACGTCTTCAGAAGTTTTCTATAATCAACGAGGGTTCCTTGGGTCAGAAGGAAGTCTCTAGCCTCCAGAATTCCACCGAAGGCTTCGGCGCGAGAGGATTCAATGAGGATCAAGAAGCGATTGGTTCGTTTCCAAAGGGATTCAATGAGTTGGAGACGAGTTTCAGACGAGCCGACTTCGCAGAGCATCCGATGAGCAATGATGACGTCATAGGTGGTCTGGAAAGGCACTTTTTTCTAATGCATCAAAAAAAAATTTAAAAATTTTAATTCCCGCTAAATTAGCGACTTGGATTTTTCGCAAAATTTTTAGACCTTTTTAGGGTTTTCAGCTATTTTTGGAGATTCTTTTTCGATTTTTCCGAATTTTTTGGCTGAAATTTGAAAGAAGATTACTGTAGAATACTGTAGAAAGCGAATTTTCTTTTTGTGGTCAAGCTTTCTACAAGAATCTACAGTAATCTTCTGTAAAATTTCATACAAAAAATTCGAAAAAAAACCAAAAATCGAATCAACAAAAATAGCTGAAAAACCTAAAAAGGTCTAAAAATTGTGCGAAAAATCGCTAATTTTCGGAGTATTGGCGGGAATTCAAAAAATTCGAGAAAGCTATTTTTTCGCGAATTTTTTCTTTGTTACTCTGAAAATCCTCACATTCAACGATGTAATCAGATGACGTCGGAAATTGATGTTGTTATGTACAAAGGGTCTTCCATCGTCAGGAGCATCCGTTTCTTTCTGGAAAAATCCATTTTCAAAGCTATCCAAAGCATACATTTTGGACATGTTCCGGAACCCGGCGCAAATGATATATACGTGATGGTCCCTGTCTAGATCTATCATTTGGTGCCAAAACTGTCTGAATATCTCGTTTTAGAGACAAGTTATCAGCCGGCCCGCTTGCAACTATGATCCAAAGTGATTGCTCACCCTTAACGAGTCCATGGAGAATTTCATAATAGCATCAGACAGATCCACCATGGTAATCTCCTTTAAATCTGGCCATCGACTAGTTGTGGCCCAAAATCCCGCAGCCGATCCGCTACCGTAATCCAGAACAGTCTCTGGCTTGAATTCTGGAATCCTATTGAATTCCTCTAGAACTCTGGCGATTTCCGCGTAATTTGGAGCTAGTCTAGCCAGGGAATACGCTGCAGCAGCTTCCTTTGAAGTGATTTCCAGTGGTTTCCAATTGAAATTCGCTTTCTTCATAATCCGATCCACCTCGTTTCGTAGCTCATAGTTCTGGGCTTCTTGAACTTTTCCGCCAAACGCTTCCTTGTCAAAATCCGAGATTTCTCCCTTTTTCCCGGATTTCAGATTCTTCTTCACCTCGTCCCGGACCTTTTTTAGCTTCTCCGGGGATTCTGGAAATCTCCTCTGCTCTAATTTGTTCGCTAGCTGGTCTGCCTCGTTTTGCAGCTGTTTTGCCGGGCGATCACATGTTACAACCGCGTTTCGAAGGCCATCAATCGCTTTTTGCGGCAAATTGAACTCTTTTCTGGAATAAAAAGTTGGCTTAGAATGTTCAGAACTTTTTGCTGATTCTGAAAATACCAAATTTGTCAACATTTTCGAAATTCCCGTCCTTGAAAATTCAAAAATAAAGTTTTTAGAAAACACATTTTTTCGAATTTTTGAAAATTGTAATTTTTCTGGGAATTTTTGATTGCATTTTTAATATTTTTCGAATTTGAAATTTTTCGGAAATCGACGAAAAAATCAGCCTTTTTTCAAAATGTTTAAAAATCCAAAAAATTCCAGTATTTTAATTTTCCCGAAATTCTAAAAATTCCAAAAACCCGAATTTGAAAAAAATAATAATTTTCAAGATTTTCAAAAAACTCGAAAATTTAAAATTCTTAAAAATTTCGAGTTTTTAATTTAGATTTTTGAAATTTCGAGTTTTTGGAATTTTTCGAACTTTGGAAAAATTAAAATACTGGAATTTTTTGGATTTTTAAACATTTTGAAATATTATGAATTCAGAATTTTTTAGTAAATTTGAATTTTCTGAAAATCGAAATCTTTGGAAAAAAGGCTGAATTTTTAGCCGTTCAAAAATTCAGTTTTTAGGGAAAAAAATTTTTTCAGAATTTTTTTTCCAAAATTTTCACCTAAATCTTCTCCCCAACCCCTCCCTGGGTGAAATTTGCACTATCGACTTGGCATTCGTCAACGCATTCACAGAAGTTATGGCGATTTTTGCTTTTTCCTGAAAAAATTCAAAATTCCTCAAATTTCATCATTTTTAGCCGCCATTTCAGGCTTACACTGGGATTTTCAGGTTTTACAGCAGATGACGTGGCACAATTAGCAAAATTTACGACGAATTGTCGAAAAAACGGCCGATTTTGGAGCATTTTGAGGTTGAAAAGTACAAAAAATTAGGTGAAAAAAAATTTTATTCTGACAACGACACTCCGCTATCCCGCTAGGTGAAAGCAGCGGGAAATTCAAATTGTTTTTTTTTTTGAAAAAATACGTTTCAAGGGGAAAATAAATCATTTCGGAACTAATAATCGCGGTTATCTTTCGAGCATTTAAGCTTCCGTTAGTCATACTGCCAGGTAAAAACTACAAAAACTACAAACTACAAACACTACAAACTACAAAAAACAATACGCAGAATGGGAACTCCAATTGCGCCAGTGAAAGTCAATATGGGCGACAAAATCAAGGATCAGTTCGTGGTGAAGAAGAAGCTAGGCGAGGGGGCGTGCGGGCAGGTTTTCCTCGTTGAATTGCTGCAAGGCGTAAGTGCGCTCTGTTGAGAATTGGCGAATTTCAATGGAGCGCGTTTTCCAGAAGGGGAGAGCGGCAATGAAAGTGGAGCCGTTGATGAAAAATAAGGAGGATGAGATTCTGAAAATGGAGGTTTATGTGTTGAAGAAGTTGCAAAAGTTAGTCGGAAAAAATTTTTTTTTTGAATTTATTTTAAAGTTGAAAAAAATGTGTCAAAAAGTGCAGAAAATCATGTAGATTTCTATAAAAACGAAGAAAAAATCCGAAAAATGGCCTAAAAATGAGAAAACCCCAATTTGGTGGCTGGCGGCCGAGTGTACGTTTCTAGTTCCCCCAGGGAGAAGAAGCGCGCGAATTTGAATTTTTCTTGATTTTCAGTGTTTTTAAAAAGATTTTTCGAGATATTCGAGGTAGAAAAATTGTCGAAAACCTCGTAAAATCGATAAAAATCAGAAAAAATTCAAAATTCCAAAAAAAAAATTTTTTTTGATTTTAAGTTTTTTTTTCAGAATTTTCGAGGGTTTCGTTAATTTTTCTCACAGAAAAACTTTGAAAATCTGAAAAATCACATAAAAATGAAGAAAAAACGAGAAAAAGTGCATTTGGTGGCTGGTGGCCGAGTGTGCGTTTTCTAGTCCTCCCAGGGAGAAAAAGCGTGCGAATTCAAATTTTTTCTAAATTTTTATTGTTTTTTCGAGGGTTTAAAAGATTTTCTGGCAGAACAATAGTCGAAACCTCAAAAAATCGATAAAAATCTGAAAAAACAAAAAAGAAATTCACAATTCCGAAAAATAGAATTTGTCGATTTTTGTTCTTTTTTTTCCAAATCTTTTCCAAAGAAAAAACTAACAAAACCCTAAACACCTTGAAAAAATCTAAAAATCAATAAAAAATTCGAATTCGCGCGCTTTTTCCGCCGCGCGGGGACTAGAAAACGCGCACTCGGCCGCCAGTTACCAAATGCGGGGTTTTCGAATTTTTTAAGCGAATTTACATAATTTTCTGCACATTTTGATGCAATAATAAAATTGAATTCAAAATAAAGTTTTTCGAAAAAAAAAATTCAAAAATTTTGAGTTCCCGCCACGTTTGCCGTCTTCTGGGGTCCGGAAAAACGGACACGTACACCTACCTAGTCATGAGTCTTCTCGGCAAAGAAATTGGAGACGTCCGGCGTCGAATGCCCCAGCGAAAAATCTCCGCCCCCTCGACAGTCCGTATTTTTATTCAACTTGTCAAAGCCCTGCAAGTAAGTGCGCTCTATTGATAAAATTGTCAATGGAGCGAACTTTCTCTAGGATATGCACGAAGCCGGATTTGTGCATCGTGACGTCAAACCCAGCAATATGGCGTTGGGAGTCAAAAATGAGCAAGTCGTGTACATTTTCGACTTTGGCCTGTCCCGTCAGATAATGCTTTCCGATGCCAGTGGGAAGTTGAAGCTCCGCGAGCCACGGAACAAATCAATGTTCCGTGGGACAGTCCGTTACTGCAGTTTGAACGTTCATCAGCATAAGGAACAGGTACGGTAGATAAAACTTGAAATTCCAAAATTTCACGACTTCGAAAGTTCTAAAAAATCTAAACTCGTGAAATTTCTAACTTCCAAAATTTAAAGCAATGATTTCTAATCGATTCCAATTAGAATCATCTTTCTAGGTCCAAAACTAAGCGAGTTATAGCTTAAGTCCAGTGGAGCGCACTTGCATTCAACTATTAAAGTTTTTGAGTTTTCTCTTCATTATGACTAAATCAATAGTTTTAAAGCGATTCCATAAAAAATTAGCTCTCTAGCTGTGAAACTAACTGAGTTATGACAAAAGTTCAGTGAAGCGCACTTGCATTCAACTATTCAAGTTTTTGAGTTTATGCTTGATTTCGACCAAGTCGATAGTTTTAAATCGATTCCAATCAAAATAAGCTGTCTATCTTTAAAACTAAGTGAGTTTTGACAAAAGTTCAGTGGAGCGCACTTGCATTCAAATAGAAAATTTTGATTTTAGGTTTGATTTCTACTAAATCGATAGTTTTAAATTGATTCCATAAGAAATTAGCTCTCTAGCTGTGAAACTAAGTGAGTTATGACAAAAGTTCAGTGGAGCGCATTAGCATTCAAATAGAAAATTTTGATTTTAGGTTTGATTTCGACTAAATAGGTAGTTTTAAATCGATTCCAAATAAAATCATCTTTCTAGGTCCAAAACTAAGCGAGTTATAGCTTAAGTCCAGTGGAGCGCACTTGCAGTCATCTTTCAAAATGTTGATATTAGGCTTGTTTTTGGCTAAATCAATAGTTTAATATCGATTCCAATCAAAATAAACTGTCTATCTTTGAAACATGACAACATCTAAATAAATTGGGGGCCTAGGCCATTTTTTTCAAATTTTTTCAGGGCAGACACGACGACTTGTACGGTGCACTGTACGCTATGATCGAGACGGTCACTTCGACACTTCCATGGAAGGGAAAACCGAAAAAAGAGACTGCGGGGCTGAAGGAGAAGACAACTGATGCTCAGTTGTGCAAGGTTTTGAAAATTTTAAAGTTTGCAAATGCGCTCTATTGACAATTCTTTTAGAATTGCCCCAAATCGTTTGTGGAGATTGCTGGGACACTTCGAAAAATGACCTATAAGGACACACCACCGTATACCACTTTTATGGAAAAATTGAAGGCAGATTTGCCGAAGGGAGTGAAGATGTAGGTCTTCTTTTTTGACTGATTTAGAGGATTCAAAAATTTCAAAATTTCAAAAAATTCGAAAATTTAAAAATCGATATTTTCAAAATGTCAAAAATCACTATTTTCAAAATTTCAAAAAATCGATATTTTCAAAAAAATTAAACAATTCGAAAATTCAAAATATGGAAATATGAAATTTTTAAATTTTTGAGATTCTAAATTTTTTGAAATTTTAGATTTTTAGGAATTTTTTAAAAATTTGGAATTCTTGAATTTCTAAATTTCTGAAAAGTTCCGAAATTTAAAAAACACTCAAAATCGATATATTCCAAAAAATTCAAAATCCCAAAAAATTTGATATTTTAAAGTTTTAGAAATTTTTTGAAAATTTGAAAATTTCGATTTTTGAATTTTTTTTTTTTTGAAATTTCGAAATTCCGAAAATTGAAAAACTCAAAATTATTAGAAAATTTTTAAAATTCAACAGTTTCAAAAATATCTAAAATAAGATTTCGAATTTCCAAATTTTCCGAAAAATTCCAAAATTTCAGAAACTCCCAATATCCTAAAAATCGATAAATTTCAAAAAATTCAAAAAATTTTAGAAATTCCAAAAATTCGGAAATTTCAAAAATCCTAAAAATTCAAAATTTTGAGAAATTCCGAAAATTCAAAATTTCGAAATCTCTGAAAAACCTAAAAATCAATAAATTCCAAAAATTTATCTTAAAATTTCATAAATCCTAAAAATTAAAAAATTCTAAAATTTGCAAAATTTGCAAAAGTTCCAAATTCCTTAAATTCCGAAAATTGTCAAAAAATCGATAAATTTACCAGGACGGATCCATTCGAGTGGAATCTGAATCGTGGCACCTTGGAGGACAACAACAATGGAAACAAGTCGGATCGTGAGGATGCGGAACGTGGCGGTGGAGCTGACACAGTCAACGAAGTCGACGAATCGGTGATCACTGAAGATCGTGGAGACACGACGTCTTCTTCGAAGAATGCCGAAGATTATGCTCCAGAAGACACGCTGGATAATATTTAGAAGACGTCATCTTTTTTTTAAATAGACTTGCACTTTTAAAATGAAGATTGGCGTTCTTTAGTTGTTCTTTTTGTATTAAATACACAAGATTTTTGTTAGAAACTTCAAAAAATCGAAAATCCAAAAATTCAAAAATTTCGGAAATTCTCAAATTTTTTGAATTCCTAAAACTCAAAATAATTATATCCTTAAGATTTCGAATTTCCGAAAAATTCCAAAATTTAGAAAACTTTCAAAATCCGAAAAGTCGATAAATTCCAAAAAATTCAAAAATTTTATTTTAAAATTTCAAAACAATTATTTTAAAATCCGTGAAAAGCCGCACGGCTAGCCTGGGCCGGCCGCGGCTTCATCAAACGTTTTTCAGAAGCCGCGGCCGGTTCGGCCGTAATAAAAGCCGGCCGCGGCCACTTCTAAAAATCGAAAAATCGATAAATTCCGAAAAAGATTGATAGCTTCAAAAAATTTAAAAACTCCAGATATTTCAAAAATTTCAAAATTCCAAAAAATTCGAAAAATTACAAAAAGTCTCAAAAATTCAAATTTCAGAAATTCCAAAATTTTCAAAAACTGAAAATTCCAAAAAAATCCCAAAAACTTTAAAATTCTGAAAATTTCGAATTTTAAAAAAATCAAAATTTTTGAATTTTGAAAATTCCAGTTTCAAGATTTCAAAAATCTATTTGAGAAATTCTAAATATTTCTCTTCTCAAAAAGCGACTAAAAATCCATTTTTCCTGATTTAAAATGCCCCCTAAATAACCGTATTTCCGTTTTCTCTCCTTCTCATGGCCAAAAACTGGTATTATGCGTTTCTAAACCTGAAATTCTGCTTTAATTTTCGAATTCTCCTCGAAAAATGAGCCTAAAATCTTTTTTCCCGACTGCAAATAGCCCGAAATACCCCTAAGTAGCCCTATTTCCCATTCCCCAACCCCTAAAAGTGGGCGGAGCCTGCGACACACACAAAACATAGCGGGCGGCGTAACCCGGGAGATGTCGGTACACGGGGGAAGGTATAGGCGCGCCGCTCGCCTCCCCCATCGGTTTTAACCCAGTTAACCAAGGTTAGCATGGATTCCGACCTTTCGAAACGAGAGTGTTGAATAACTTTAATTTTTGGAACCGCTTCTTCGGGGTTATCCGTTGAGGCAAAAATTATATACGGATTCTGTAATTTCTAGTTCGCGGTTTCCGATAAATTCTTCTCGAATTTTCTTTAAAGGTGGTGTACGGTGAAATTTTTTATTGCATCAAAATGTGCAGAAATGCATGTAGATTGGCATAAAAATAAATCGAATTTTCCGATGTATCTGGAAGATAAATTGACAAAAACCTAGAAAACTCTTGAAAAAACCCGAAAAAAAAGTGAAAACGAGCGAAAAAATTTTAAAAGTTTGAATTCGCGCGCTTTTACTCACCGGGCGGCCTAGAAA